CAACCAGATGGCACTCTTATTATAATTACTTATTCAATGAGCCCTCTGTATTTCCTTCGATTAACTCAAGTTCAGGATATATAAAGAAAAACAATCTGCCTGGGGAAATAGTGATAAGATTCTCGAAGAGATGTGTGAGGGATGCAATCTTGAAAGCGGCATCTGGAGCTCCTTTGAAAGTTGGAGATAATGCTGTCAGAATCCTAAAAGGCATTCCATTTGAAATAAGACAAAGGAGAAAGAAGTACAAAGATTTTAAAATTTTTCTCCAGACAAACGCAATTGAATACAGATGGCTAACACCAGAATGCGTGATCTTCAAAATCAAGGATAAAAAGGGAAAGATTGACTCTGTTCAGAAAGCACAGAAATTTTTGCGAGTCCAGATGGGAGAGCCAGAGGAGGAAGAAAAAGAAGGGATGGACAGTAAGTCCAGCGGCGAGCTGGACTCGGGGTCTTCCGGAGAGGACTCTCTATCAGAGAAAGGGGAAGCCGCCCCTAAAAGTCCTTATAAACTGCGGAAGAGACTGGGCAAGGGGAAATGAAGGACTCTGAATTGTGCCTTTGAAAAACGGTGGTTTTTTAATACTAGATGCTTAGGGGTCTTTCGAGTTAACAGTGATAGTTAAGATATGAAAAAGATAATACTATAGTTGAATCAGTTCATAATGGGATTAGCGTGATTGAGAGATAACGTGTGCCAAGCTAACTAGATGATCTCCTCTCTTGGGTTTTTAGATAGTAGTGGGTATCTTTTCTTTATCCCTTAATGTAGTCCCCTTCCCTATTTCTGTTGTAGTTTGTAGTCTTTATAAAAATGCAATTAAAAAATCCCCTCCGAGGGGCCAAAAAAAATCATTGGCAAATGTCCTCCGAACAGAGGCTTTGAGACTGTTGAAGCAACATATCAGTGCCAGCTGGCATTCCACTGATACATTGGTTAGGACCATGGCCACCTCTGTTGTTTTGCGAAGACATGCATTGTTGCAGTCCACCACATTTTCCTTAGACACACGCCAAAGAATTAAAGATCTCCCATTTGAAGGTCGAACTTTATTCTCAGAGGAGACTGACGATTAAAAGAAATCAGCAGATAGCAAGACCTTTGGGGGTCACTTCATCGGGAACTTCCGCTCACAAGCAGAGATCTTCCTTCAGACAACCGTGTCATCTCTGTCCAAAGGATCAAAGAGTATCCTCCTCACAGAGGCTTTCAACAACGACCTCAGTTTGGAAGGCGAAAGTTGTCTTCCAGGCCTAAACCCACCCAAGAACAGGGGAGAAGGACTCTCAGTCTCAAGGCAAAGCAGCCTTCTGGCTACTGAGGCATGACTTTGAGAAGTTACAACATAGTTTTTTTGAATAGGTCAATGGTTTATATTAAAGTTTTGCATTCCATAACTACTGACAAATGGGTGCTTAACATTGTTGAACATGTGTACAGGTTAGAGTTCATTTCTCTACCACCTACACAACCAGTTGTTGCCGCTGTGAATAATCATTTGCCTCAGCTACAAGAAGCAGATGCACTTCAGGCCAAGGGTGTGGTAGAGGTCGTAGATACCCCTGACACTCCAGCCAGATATTCCCGTTTCTTTCTCGTGCAAAAGAATGATAGTGGCACTGGTTTCTGGCTTATGTCCTTGGAAGCAGCAACCATTTAGCACTGGGCTTTACAATATAGGTTCATCCTGCAGGCCATAATATTGCAGGCATTCAAAACACACAGGCAGACCATCCCAGCAGGACTCTATCAATGAACCCTGAGTGGTCGATACTAGACCAATATTTACATCCTATATTCCAGAGCAGGGGTTTTCTGCAGGTGGATCTGTTTGCAATGTGGGAGAATTCAAAAGCCCCCTCAGTTTTGCTCAGTCACAGGAAGAGATCCAGGCTCCTTTGGTGATGCCTTTCAGCTTCAGTGGATTGGGAGGCTCTTTTATGCTTTCCCCCCAATTCCTCTGATAGGGAGAGTTTTGGCCGAAATTATGTAGGAAAACACAGATCTTTATTCTCATTGCCCCATTCTGGCCTTGACAGATGTGGTTTCCCAGCCTGATGCAGTTGTCAAAGGGAATGTACACCCACTTATCAGTAGTTCCCAACTTATTAAGTATGGGGCAGGTGCACCATCACCCCGACTCATCTACACTTGACAGCTTGGAGGATCCTTCCCAGGAGTTAAATGCTCCTCTCAGAAGTTAAAGAGATCTTGATGCAAGCGAGAAAGCCAGCCACATGATATTCATACAGCAATAAGTGGACATGCTTCATAGAATGGACCTCGACCAAAGGTGTTTTACCAGAAAAGGTGCCTTTGCCCCTCATACTAGATTATCTATTCTACATGAAGCAAAAGGGTCTGTCCCGTTCATCGATTTGAGTGCATTTAGCAGTGATCTCAGCAGTCCATCCTAAGATTCAGGGTCAGCTTTCTGTCATAGCCTGTCTAAAAATAATTCCTGAAAGGTATAATTAATTCAGATCCTCCTAGACTTGTGTTGATTGAACAGTGGTCACTTATCTCTAGTCGTCCTGACTAATTTGGTGGCTAAACCTTTTGAGACATTAGCTATAAATTCTTTACCTATCAATGAAAGTATGTTTTTAGTAGCAGTCAGGGCTGGCTCGAAGTGCTTCTGCACCCTAGGCAGGTGCAGATGCCAACCTCCCGGTGGGGCCTGGAGACCCTTTTGCTGTGAGAGAGAGGCTTTCCTTTCCTGATTCCCTGATTGCTGAGAGAGGAGGAATTGGAGGCAGGGCGAACAGATGGCGGGCGGCAAGGTGTGTTGCTGCGTCGTGGTGCGCATGTGCTAGGATTGCGCAGCTCTGAAGTGCAGAGCCACGGCCGCCCACACACCACGCCCCCCACGGGCCGCTCGCGGGTTCCCCGGCAAAAGCTTCCCTGGCCTCCCTCCGCCGGATGCTCCTGAGTTGCTAAGGGCAAACTGACCCCGGCCCTGCGCGCGAGAGGGGCGGGCGCCCGGTTAGGGTGGTGGCGGGGGTTGGGGGCGGGGCACAGTTTGGCGCCCTTGAGGGCTGGCCCGCCCTAGGCGAGCCCCTAGTTCGCCTAGCGGGCGAGCCGGCCCTGGTAGCAGTCACTTCAGCGAGGCAAGTAAACAGATTAGCAGTGTTTCACATGGACCCTCCTTTCCTTAAGATCTTTCAAGAAAGCGTAGTGACAAGGCCCGGTTTACAGTTCTTCCCAAAAGTGGTGTCAGATTTTCATTTTACACGGGTATTTCCCCCTTCACCTAATTCTGATGCAGAAAGAAGTTTGCATACATTGAACCGTCAAAGGGCTTTATTGTTTTATCTAGATAGAACAAAGGAATTTTAAAAGAATAAGTGTTTGTTATGCAGGCCCTTTCAAAGGGAAAAGAGCTTAATCTCAAACATTGTCTTGATGGATTGTGTCGGCAATAAAAAGTTTGCTATTCTAAGGCAAGAGTACCATGTCCATTCGTAGTACGTGCATATTCGGCTGAAGCCCAGTCTTCAGCAGTGGCCTTCCTCAGTGGAGTCCTGATCCAAGAGATCCACAGAGCTGCAACTCAGTCTTCCACTGACACCTTCATGAGATACTACGCATTGAACCTAGATGTGAGAAGAGAAGCATCAGTGGACAAATCTGTTTTACAGTCAACATTTCAGTAAAGTGTTTCAATAAAGAGCTTCTCCCACTGCCTGAGTGAGTAGCTTGCTAGAATCCCAATGTGGGACTGCACAGAAGATGAAGATGGAAACAGGGTTGCACTTCCCTGTAACTGATGTTCATCGAGGACTTCTATGCAAGCTCACATTCCCTCCCACCTGACCCGCTATGTGTTCGAAAGATAAAGTTACTTGTGGCAGCTCAGACAGAACCATTGGATAATGTGACTGTTAGGAGGGAAACAGCTCCAACAGTCACATGAGCACCCCATAGTGCTAAAGCTAGAAGATCTTTCCATGGCAGGGCTGCACATGCGCAGTCCCAATATGGCCCTGCACAGAAGACCCTGATGAACATCAGTTACAAGTAAGTGCAACCCTGTTTTTTCTTCCCAGCCCCCACCCAACTGCTTTTCAATTATTAGATGATATACCGCAACTTCTGCAAAGGGACTGCCATGGGAGCACAAAACACCTGATCTCAAAATAAAGTGTGGACAAGCCCCTTGTCAGATATATCCCAAGTCAGTTACACACACATCCCCTAAGCCAGTATAATCAAGCTACATTTTCACTGCAAAATGTGAAGATTTGCTGCTGTTGCTAAAATTGAGGATACTTAATATTAAGACTAACCATTTTCAGCTCCCATGTGATTCACCTCTTTGCAGAGTACAGTCTAGTGTAATTTACAAAGGTAGGTTTATTTACAATGTTAATGTCATTAGCACTGTCTCATAGGTGCTGATAACATTAATCCAGTAACAAACCAGACAGTACTTCAAATAGCAGTGTCCGCACTAGCAGGGAAATAGTCTCATTTTCCCAGTAATAATATATATTGGTTGTGAAAATCTAATTCCATTAATCAAAAGTTCATAACTTAATTAAGATTTCGGGATCCTGCACAATGCAACAGCGGAGCAACAATTACACTTTATTTTCATAAAATTTGATCCACCAAATTGGTTGTCTAGATAACTTCAATATGTGGTATAGAAGGGGGGGGGCTTTAATTATACGAAGGAAGAGTAATGATGTTGAATGAAGCCACTTTTTGCTGTGCAGAGAAATCAGTTACTTTAAAGAATTACTTTATCATAATGATGATGAAGAGAGACAGCTTTCCTTAACAGTTTACAGAACAGTCCATATTAAATATGTTCTAACAGTAGCAAGGTTTTGAAGCAAATGCCATGATACAGAAGTGTAGTTAGCATATTACGTAATACAACAATTGGGTGCATATATGTTTAAATTCTTCCACCAATAAAATACATAATGCAAAATAGAATTTCTTAATACTGTACTATTAAAAACATCTGTTGTTTCATTCCCAATAGACTGCCCCTACTGAGGGGCTTGTGTCCATATTAAAGAAGAGAGATGACGCTGAAGGCAAAGCTCTTGCTCAAATGCAGCAAAGACAGTCAAAAAGAAGAGTGAGGTTCCAAGAGATGGAGGACACATTCGATCAAGGTATTCTGCTTCTGTTTTTCAGATTCTTTCCCAAGCTACTAATTGTATGCTTACACAGGATCAAGGATATGAATAGTCCTATGCAGCTATGATTATGTGCTCTGTTTGCATTAATATTCCAGGGCTGGGGAAGTAGAAATGGCAGTTACACATGGCTCTAAGAATTGGCCTGTACCTAGATAAAAACACTAAAGGATTTTAACATAGTCATTTGGGATAATCAAGTATGAAGATGTACAAACATGAGAGTTAATCTATAATGCCAAGACTTGCCTCCCTTGTTCTTGTCAAGCTGTGGCCTATCTTATATATTCTTGCACTTGATTTACAAAGGAGACTTGGTACTGTATTCTTTTTTGTCACTAATTCTGAGTTATCGCAGTGAATAAATGTGGCAGGCTTCTAGGTTGGGGCAGACCAGTGGGGTGCCTGGAGCATTGATGTCCTTAGCAAACTTGGCATGGGCTGAGCCGCCAACAAAATAAAGAGGCAACAGTCCTCTGACCAACAGCTTGCCTTTTATTCTCTGTTCCTTGTTGCAGCACTGGTTCATACAGAAACACTGTCCAGTTTGCACCACACCCTTTGGTCCTGTTATCCTGACTCTCATTCAACCTTCTCTCCATCTCAGTCCTTGGCTGCCCCCCAGCTCCTCCGCTCCACTAGCTTAAGGGTTGACCCCAATCACTGCCTCCATCCTTCCTCACTAGGTCCCCGCCCTACAGGCTCTGGCTACCCTGAACCCACAGACCCAGCAGGATTTGTTAACCCCATATGGCAGTGGC